CTTCATTAATGGCCTCTTGCTCAGTTCTGGGAAATCTCACGAAGTAGTTGGGGTTTCTGATGTCCGAGTTCCATGTCACTGCAACAGGCAGATAATAGAATTTGGAATAACCGGATTAAATTAACTCTTCGAGTCCCAAGGAACGCATCATACGTTCATAGGTTACTGCCTAGAAGCCCAATGAACGCATAATGCGCCGATTTTAGTCTCTTTTGACTACCCCTTGGGCCTGTGATGCATAACCCTCTGGGAGAGAGTTAAATTTAGACTGAATGATGTGTGTGTGTGTGTGTGTGTGTGTGTGTGAGAGAGAGAGAGATAGAGAGACAAGGGGTGAACTGAGAGAGAAAATGGGAGAGAGAGCCTGAAGGAAGAGAAGAGGAAGTAGAGTGTAACAGGTTAGTTGCGTATCCTTTACAGGACGTTGCAGAACCAACCCCTTGCTGTTGTGTGGTTTTACTAGGCATATTTACGTCCATTAGTTTGCCATTGCTTTCTGGACGGTCTGCTCCCTGATACCACTGTCGAAACCAACGCTAGGCGTATGGCCCGCCCCTGGGATTGAACCCGGTACCCCGACATTACAAAGCGTTCGCATCGACCTAGCCACAGAGCCAACAGAGTGTAACATCTACAACAAATATTATTACCACTGATGCCACCACAGCTGCTACAGTTACTACTATCACGCCTACCACTACCCAAACAACAACAAGCACAACAATAACAACTACTACGACTGCTTCCTATACTACCGCTATATTTGCTAATTTCACAGCCACCTCTGCCATAACAGCAATAGCAATAAAACAATATTTACAACACTAACAACAGATACTACTTTTATTGCAACTACTACCCATAATACAACTGTTATTGCTAGTGCTGCAAATACTACTATGTGTGGACTAAGCGAACTAAGGATCAAGTGAACAGTCAACATCGACGCCTCACAAAGTCCCAGGTTAACATTAGTCAGTGCCAACATAGACAACACTGATTTCGACCGCAGCTACTCATAACAGGCTGCAAGCTCTCGAACAACACGTAGAACAAACCAGTTCTTTTGAAAAGTTTGACAGTGGTAGGCAAAATCGAGATTAGACATTACTTTCGGCTAATATAAAATGTTCGTTGCACACTTTTCATCTTTAAAGTAACAGTAAATGACCCTTTTCCACGCCTTCAAACTTAATCGGCGTATAAGGCTAAACCTATATTTTATAGACCTACCGGCAATCGGTAAATGATGTGGTCAGCATCACGCCGGCCACCCTTACTTCCCAGATCGATCTTTATAGACGATATCCTACCCGAGATGACGTCATTAGACAATCCAACATATTAGAGGGTGGTTAGACCGGGTTTCCCGGCTTTCTGATGCTTTTAACAACCCCAAAACATCTAGGACTGGCTCTAACCCCAGCCCACCTACGTCCCACTAGAGAGTGCAGCCTAGGTCCCACGCCTGCATGCAGCCTTGGTCCCACGACTGGATGCAGCCTATCTACCACCCCCTGAAATATTAGACTGTCCCGTGACCTGTCGATTTTTCCTGTTTGCAGTAGGATATTAAGAAAGCACCTAATATTTCACTATAGGAAGGCATGTGAATCACAGTCCACCACGATTGCTAATATGACTAGCAAGACTCACGCTGGGAAACGTTTTCAACAATTAGATCTCTGGACAAGAATTGCCTTATAATCTATTTAATGTTTTTCCTGTCAGCACTCAATTCTTCATTCATGCAATAATTTTCCTGTTTTGCCCAATTCTTTTCATTACCCCACCCCCCATCCCATAGCACGGTCCTTGACTTCAAATACATATACCATTCATGTCCCGCTTTATTTTATCTTTTTTTCGTAGTAAATTTTAAACTCGATAATTTCTACCCAACAGTATTTAACCATACAGAATGTTCCTAGGAACTCTAAAATTCTCCATCTTTCAAGTTTTCTATCTATATGAGCATTCGAAGACTGCATTAAGTAGTTTGAACTGGTTTAAATAAGTCAAATTTATAATCCACACACAGATGGTGACAAACCTCTTAAGCCATCCCATTTCGGTTCTGTGAATGGAAACAAATGCAGAAAGAAAGTAAACATAAATGAGAAAATTTAAAGTTACTATTTAATTTATTTGATTTATGTTATACAATATTACTTTATAAGTCATAGTGCATTAGGTATACTGCACAAGGTATACTGTATACAACACATATTGCACAAAACATACTGAATTAGACAAACTTCTTCTTCTTCTTCTTCTTCTTTTTCTTCTTCTTCTTTCTTCTTCTTCTTCTTCTTCTTCTTCTTCTTCTTCTTCTTCTTCTTCTTCTTCTTCTTCTTCTTCTTCTTCTTCTTCTTCTTCTTCTTCTCTTCTTCTTCTTCTTCTTCTTCTTCTTCTTCTCTTCTTCTTCTTCTTCTTCTTCTTCATCATCATCTTCTTCTTCTTCTGTCTTCTTCTCATCATCATCATCATCATCATCATCATCATCATCATCATCATCATCATCATCATCTTCTTCTTCTTCCTTCTTCTTCTTCTTTTCTTCTTCTTCTTCTTCTTCTTCTTCTTGTTTTTTCTTCTTATTCTTATTCTATTCTTCTTCTTCTTCTTCTTATATCATCGTCATTATCTTGGTCATCATCATCATTATCATCGTCATCATCATCATCATCTTCTTCTTTTTCTTCTTCTTCTTATTATTATTATGGTTTCGCCCACAAAATGATGTCTAGCATGCTGTGGTGTGGTGTTTAGCTAGACTGGTATACTATGAGTGTTGCAGCTTAACACATGCCATTTCAGGAAACCCTTAATTTGTTGCTTTTTACGACATGTTTGTTAACTGGCAATAGATGTATCCCCCCCCCCCCAACCACCCCCGAAAATAGTGGTCTGAAAAATACACAGGGATACTACATTAATATAAGATTTACAGTGCACATAAGATAAGGACAACCCACCGGGTATTCAAGAATTGGTTCTTTTTATCAGAAATTCCTCTTATCCAGATCAGAGTTCAAGCAAGAAAAATGGGTCTTCACAACCGTAACTGGCCACATCCACGATCGCCTTAAGCGGTCAGCTCTGTGTCTGTTTAAGACAATACAGCTTAAAGCAGCGGTTCTCAAACTATTGGTCGCGACTCTTTTGAGGGTCGACGAACGCACCTTTCACAGGGGTCGCCTAAGATCATCGGAACATATACGAAGGAAAGTAAGGAAAGTCACAAATAGCTATGGGATGGCAGGAAAACGTAGTGGTGTTTTCTAAAGGTGTCACCTAAAAAAAAAAAAAAAATGCTGTTGTGCGATGTTTGGGAGCAAAAGGCTGCCCGCAAAGGACATTTTAAAGGAAATGCACGCTGTTTATGTTAAAAAAATGTTTATCTCGTAAAGCGGTGCATACAACAAAATGCATGATCAATTGGCATTTTTGATTCACGGAAAACCTACTCTGGAGGGAGATAATAATCGCGAATAACGCAGAAGTTGAATGTAAAGTGAAAATGTTATTTTGAAAACAGAGCACGATACTGAATTTGGTAAACTTTCCCTAGATGAAAACATTATTTAATATTCACTCTTTGCTGCACACTGTTAACATAACCAAGCCACCCTCACTTGCTAAACACAATGGTGGGTTACTTGTTGCTTGCTGACCGGGCTGTAGTACAATTTATCAGATCATAGATGAGTGTTACCTTTCTGGATGACTCACTTTGCTTCATGGATGGGGATTTTGTCTTGGCTATAATAAAATTCATGATTAAATTCATGTATTCATTATGTCTAATTATTGATTGGCCTGACGATGTAAGACATACTGTGTCAAACATAATATTTATGACTTACTGTATAAGATATACATTGGCTCTCAAGTAAACGGAGCCTTAAGAGTGTGAAGTCTTCTTCTTCTGAGCTTCAGAGTCATTCTGGCGTAAGTAAAGGCAGTCCAGAACCTGGGTGTTGCTATCAGGTTTACATTCTGGTTTATACAATGCTGGTTCGCCTAGCCCTATATGCCCCATATACCTGAAGCTGTGGGTATATTAGACAGGGTACAAGACATACCGCGATCGAAACCCACTGCTGACTGCGTGGATTTTTATCATTGTATGGGGCGTCGCAGGTCGACCCAGCCTAAAATGATACCATGATGGTTGTCCTGGGGAAGTAAAGACGGCCGGCGTAATGCTGACCACATTACCTATCCAGTGCAGATTGGTCTGTAAAAATATGGGACGCTCTTCCTATATACCCGATGCACCTAAGGCGTGAAAAAGGATCTTTACTTTACTTTTTTTTACTGACAAGACAAGCATTCTGCCTTCAACTATTCAATCAGTATACACAAAGGAACTCACGTGAAAGGGAAGCTGTGATGAATGTCGCAAAGAAGACAAGAGCCAACATCTTCATACGCTGCCTTTTGTTTCTGTTCCCAAAAGTGGTGTTTTATTTTCGAAATAATAGTTGACATACAGGTGCTATAAAAAATAATACACAATGTTGTTGTTAAAATGCTCTAGTCATCGTTTCAGCCGACTGAATTCTGACACATGTACAGCAATAAATAAACAAAAAATCTTTGAGGCGGTCGGGGCTGACACTTATCAACTTCATATTCGTGCCAGGTCGACCTAGCCTTGAGTGAGTACCGGGTGCAGTCCCGGGAAGTAAGGCGGCCGGCATGATGCTGACCACATCACCCATCTTAAGCGATTGGTCTATAAAATATAGGTCTAGCCCAATTTGCCCTAAAGGCATGGAAAAGGGTCCTTTAATTTTTTGACTTACATGTACAAACTGCTCACAACAACAAACAACAACAGCAAAGTTCTCGCCTTTTTACTTCATACATAGTTTTAAATACATTTTATTTATCTTTCAATTAAACTGAAACAAAAAATTTTGGCACAAAGGATTATTCCAAGTTTAAATAAACTCATGTTCAAAACTGCTTGACGCCACCCTTTGAACTTTCTAACGCCCCCTGTGAGCTCCTCGGCGTGGGGCCCTCGGTTTTAGAGTGTTTAAATAAAAAACTAAACGAGCCTTAAATAACACAGCTTTATGTCAGAAACATACCTTGACTCCCGGATCTTTGCAGTCTAAAGTGGTTACAATGAAATATTATGGAGAGTAAAAGTGAAATAAGCTGCGAATACCAGTTCATCTATAAAATATGTGATTAGCACCATCTACCTAAGAACCGTACTGTCACAGTTCAGATAAAGGCGTTAAAATACCCGCATGTAAATGACTTACTCAAAATACTGTCCAGTGAGGTGTACTTATCTAGTAAAAACTAAGCAGGCGAACTGTAATTTATTACTGGAAGCCGAACCCGCCTAGTGCCTAAATTAGCTAATTAACGAGTTTTGTTTACGTACTTTTTTTAACGCTAGCAATACACGGCAGATGTTTTGTTACCCGTATTTTCAGTTACAGGATATAATGCTAGGTACCCCCAGCGGTCGGACAACTTTATGTGCCTCTGGCTAATGAGCTATACTGAAAGTGGAAAAAGTTAATATGTAAGTGAGGGACAGCCCTTGTTCTGTAATGTATAAAAACACATATACACGGTTACATCTGTAGCAGAGTAACAGCGGGGGGAACTACAAAAGAAGTCGACTTCATCAATATACAAAGATAATGCAATTATTATTATCGTATTCAATTCAGCGATAATAGTAGTCAGGAACTTGTCAAGGAATTAAGCAACACAACAAGTTGCACTAAATACTGTATAATGTATGCCTAACAGAAAGCCATCAAATGATATCAGGAAGCCACCATACTTAGCATAAAGCTGCAACCAAGCTAAAATGTAGAATTGACGAGGCCTCAATGTACAGCTGGTGAGGCCTTAAAATATCTAAGCTACATGCAATTTTGATATCTCCGGTAAAAAAAAAAAAAATTGCCAGATTTTACGTTTTCCGCATAAGAAAGAGAGTGGGTTATACAAATGTTAGTCTCCCCAAAACAAAGCAGATCACGTTCAGTTCATAAGTATACCTTCCTGAAGGTTACAGGTGTGCCGCTCTGTTGTGTTCTTTCTGTGTTGTCTTGCTATTGCGTTTTTATTCTAAGAAAGAGAATGCCTGTGACATAGGTTTCATCACTCTCTAAAGGGGTTTTGTGTTAGACCCAAATATACAACAAGCGATATCAACGGCATTGCGGGAAACCTCCGTAACCTTCTGGCAAGGCAGCATGGCTCAAGGTCGACTTAACAAAAATGAGCTAGACTGAAGGTCGACGAATCAAGAAGTGAGCTAGTGTGTAACACTGTGTAAATAGGAAGACTAACCTTTGTATTACCAGGTCATACAAACGTTTATCTCCCCAAACTAAGCAGGCCACCTTCCATTCATAAGTTTGTTGGGCTGGTCTACCTTCCTGCAGGTTACTTGTGTGCGGCTCGGTTGTTTGCGTTTGTATTACCAAGAGAGTGTCTTCGCTTCCCGTTCATCCCTTGTCGTGTCAAATGGCTCCTCCTGTGATGCAGGGGGTGTCACGCTTAGGGGTCGTCCAGCAACACGTATTATTTTACTCGTTGTTGTCAGCGGCTGTCGATATTGCGTGTTCTATATTACACGATGTGATCGCTTTTAACGGCCCCAGAACATGTAGAACTGGCCCCTAACCCTCCCCCTCCATCTCCCGTTATTGATATACGCTGCATCCAGTCTTGTGACCTAGGCTGCACTATCTTATGGTACGTAGGCTGCATTCTCTCGCGGGACGTAGGCTGCATTCTCTTATGGGACGTAGGCTGCATTCTCTCGCGGGACGTAGGCTGCATTCTCTCGCGGGACGTAGGCTGCATTCTCTCGCGGGACGTAGGCTGCATTCTCTCGCGGGACGTAGGCTGCATTCTCTTATGGGACGTAGGCTGCATTCTCTCGCGGAGCGTAGGCTGCATTTTCTCGCGGGACGTAGGCTGCATTCTCTTATGAGACGTGGGCTGCATTCTCTCGCGGAGCGTAGGTTGCATTCTCTCGCGGGACGTAGGCTGCATTCTCTTATGAGACGTGGGCTGCATTCTCTCGCGGAGCGTAGGCTGCATTCTCTCGCGGGACGTAGGCTGCATTCTCTTATGAGACGTGGGCTGCATTCTCTCGCGGGGCGTAGGCTGCATTCTTTCGTTGGACGCAGGCTGAGGCTGTGGGGTAGGTTTTTTTGGGTTAGGCCCAGTTCTACGTGTTTTGAGCCG